TCTGACATCAAGAATCACAAGACAGAGAAACCAGTAGGAGAACACTTCAATCTCCCAGGACATTCTATACAAGATCTCAAAGTAGCTGTTTTACTACAAAGGAATTTCAGAAATAGACTGGAAAGAGAAGCTGCTGAATTGCAACTCATTACCAAACTTAAAACAATGGAGACACCTGGTCTGAACAGAGACATTGGATTCTTATCTCATTATACATGACTAAGCCACTTCTCACCTTCTCACCCCTTGCCTTTTCCTGTAAGACCTACTACAGTCGTTAAGAGTCGTCAACAGGCTCATCAGGCTCATCTCAGCTATCTGCCAATCTCCGATTCCCACCACCCTTCTGAGTAATACCCCTCCCCACCTTCTCTATATATAGAAGGATCTGGCAACTTCTGTTTCAGTGTATCTGAAGAAGTGTGCATGCACACGAAAGCTTATACCAAGAACTAACTTAGTTGGTCTTTAAGGTGCTACAGGAAGGATTTTTTTATTTTGACTATGGCAGACCAACACGGCTACCCATCTGTAAATGGTTTTCTCTGTAGTACTATGGTGGTGTCATGAGCTCACTGGAGACAGTGGTGGGAGGCTCCAGATTGGGAACCCCCGAGGGAAGAAGACTTCAAGCCACGGAATTGGTGGTGGAATGATAATGAGTGGTCAGTGGGACAAGAGGAGGCAGACTGAAAGGAGGAGGTGTCAGAAGCTGAAGAGGTAACAGAATTTAGTGAACAGCAGGAGTCTGTGGCAGAGGGCAGTCCCGAGTCAGAGGCAGAAGTGGAGGCTGAAGATGAGCGGGGTCAAGAGGCAGAGATGAGGCAGGCTGCTGAAGAAGCCAGGGAGTCTCCCCTCCTGTAGAGACCAGGTCTCCCAGAACACACAGAGAAATGCAAAGAGCAGTGGAGAGCTTGGTTGCATGCAGATGCAGTCTCTAATTGCTTGGGGAAAGCACTGGAGAGGAGAGGGCTTAGGTAGCTGTGGGAAAGTGGGGACCCTCAGTCCTTGCAACTGCCTTGTTGGGGCAAGACCTACTGGGAAGAGTTGCTGTGAACACTAGGCTTGTGCTGTTTTGGTTTCTTTGAATAAAGAGTTAGCTTCACTGACACCAGTGTTCTTTATTTCTGGCCTACACCTAACTCCAACTCCTGACAAGTGGGATTTAGCAGCATGCTATTCAGGGAGAATGACATGTTGTATTTGGCCACACACATCCATAGAATCATACATTTGTAGAGTTGGTAGGGACCCCCCCCCCCTGACAATGGGCCATCCAACCTCTGCTTTAAAACCTCCAAGAAAGGAGAGTCTACCACCACCACCTCCCAAGGTTCCACTGTTGAACATCACTTACAGCCAGAAAGTTCTTTCTTTTTTTCTCATTTGTTCGGGTCCTAACCTCCAGAGCAACAGCAAAAAAAAGCTTGATCCGTGTGGGTAGTGGTTAAGAGCGGTAGTCTCGTAATCTGGGGAACCGGGTTTGCGTCTCCGCTCCTCCACATGCAGCTGCTGGGTGACCTTGGGCCAGTCACACTTCTTTGAAGTCTCTCAGCCCCACTCACCTCACAGAGTGTTTGTTGTGGGGGAGGAAGGGAAAGGAGATTGTTAGCCGCTTTGAGACTCCTGAAGGGGAGTGAAAGGCGGGATATCAAATCCAAACTCCTCCTCCTCCTCCTCCTCCTCTCTCCTCTTCTTCTTCTTCTTCTTCTTCTTCTTCTTCTTCTTCTTCTATGCAATAGCCCTTTAGGTATTTTAAGATAGTTTTATAGCACCTCTCAGTTGCTTCTTCATCAGTTGTTGCCATCTTGGTTCAACAATGGTCACACCTAAACTGTGTACGAGTTTTCTACATTTGTGAATTGGATGTACCTTGAAGTTTGAGGCTGCCTGGGGTGTGAGTAATCAATTACTCTTTCATAAGGTTTGAACTTATTGCTAATTAGTAGCCTCTCCCTCACTGGAGGTTTTTACGCAGAGGTCAGGTGGCTGCCTGTTAGGGATTCTTCAGCTATGATTTCTGCATTGCAAGGGGCTTGACTAGATGACCCTTGGGGTTCCTTCTAACTGTGATTTTATGATCTGATCTAGCAGCTTCATAAACAACCACACACCTCTGACAAATACTTGAGTTTGAAAATACTTTATGTTGAAACATTCAACCTCCCCCCCCCCATTAGCATACCACAGAGTCCTTAACATTGGTAAATTTATCGACAGGAAGGCTATTAAAATAATAAGATGTGTTGGCTTATTTACAGTGCTGTGATGGAACTGAAACTACAGCAAAAGTGCTCTGCTAAAAACTAGATCAGTCAATCCATCTGGAGACAGGTAGATAAAGTTTACTCAGGCTCCCAACTTTAGCTCATTTTGCCAGATATTCTATTCCTGACCCCTCTTGGCTTTCTCTATTCTATTACTTGCTCTCTTGACACTATTCAGCTTCTAAAGTCAATTCTACTTTACCTTCTCTGCCATGGGTACTCAGTTTATTTCCTGCCCTGCTGTAAGCCTGAACTTGATGTTCCAATTCTTTAAAATAATAATTTTTAAAAAGCTTTCCTTCATCCCCTCTCACTGACTAATGATCATCCTTACTCTGCTTTTCTCACTGTGTTCCTTGGCTGTTCAAGCCCTTAAACTCCTCTCCCATTATTATCTTCCGAATCCTTATCAACCTTGTTTTTGATCTGCTCATTCTTCTCAAAGCTTCTGTAGCCTGGATTTAAATGATTTTTCTACATAAGTTATGTGCATCTCATAGTCATTTTCACCTGCCCTTCACCCTGTTTTGAGGCTGTCTTTCTCCTGTCTTCACTTTCCTTCCAAAATGTCCCTAGTTCTGTTCTTCAAAAAACTGAAGGCTCATTGGAGGCACTCTCTCTGGAACTCCCTCCCCCAGGAGGCAGTGATGGCCACCAACCTGGATGGCTGTAAAATTCATTAGACAAATTCATGGAGGAGAGGGCTACTGATGGCTACTATCCATGATGGCTAAGCTCTGTCTCCATAATTAGAGGCCTCTCTCAAAGGCCTTTGATACCATCAACCATTACATCCTTCTGGACCATCTAGAGGAGCTGGGAGCTGGGGGCACTGTTATTCAGTGGTTCCACTCCTTCGTCCTGGGCCATGTCCAGAAAGAGGTGTTGGGGATGAGGGTTCAGGCCTCTGGGCTCTCACTTGCGGGGTGCCTCAGGGTTCTGTCCTCTCTCCCATGCTTTTTAATATCTATATGAAGCCGCTGGGGGCGGGGGACTCCCTGGTCCTGAATGACGCAACTGTGCCCCTGAAGGACCAGGAGCACAGCCTGGGAGTCATTTTGAACTCACAGCTGTCCATGAAGGCGCAGGTCAATTCTGTGTCCAGGGCAACTGTCTACCAGCTCCATCTGGTATGCTGGCTGAGACCCTACGTGCCCGTGGACTGTCTTACAGGAGTAGTGCATGCTCTGGTTATCTCCCGCTTGGATTACTGCAATGTGCTCTATGTGGGGCTACCTTTGAAGGTGACCCAGAAACTACAACTAATCCAGAATGCGGCAACTAGGCTGGTGAGTGGGAGCGGCCACTGAGCCTGGAAGACCTAAGTTGGCTTCCAGTGCATTTCTGAGCACAATTCAAACTGTTGGTGCTGCCCTTTAAAGCCCTAAATTGCATCAGCCCAGTATACCTGAAGGAGCATCTCCACCCCCAACATTCAGCCCAGACACTGAGGTCCAGCTCTGAAGACCTTCTGACGGTTCCCTCACTGTGAGAAGTGAGGTTACAGAGAACCAGGCAGAGGGTCTTCTTGGTAGTGGCACCCGCCTTGTGGAACGCCCTCCCATCAGATGTCAAGGAAATAAACAATTATCTGACTTATAGAAGACATCTGAAGGCAGCTCTGTTTAGGGAAGTTTTTCAGGTTTGATCTTTTATCATGTAACGTTCTGTTAGGAGCCACGCAGAGTGGCTGTGGAAACCCAGCCAGATGGGCAGTGTATAAATAATAAAATTTTTGTTGTTGTTGTTGTTGTTGTTGTTGTTGTTATTATTTTATTATTATTATTATTATTATTATTATTATTATTATTATTATTATCATGGTGAGTTGAGGCAATGCTTATGGAAACTGCAAGAGGGGAGAGGGCTCTCATACCTGCTTGCAAGTTTCCCTGTAACAGGCACCTGGTCAGCCACTGTGAGAAGAGGATGCTGGACTAGATGGGCCATTGGGTTCATCCAGCAGGCTTTTATTGTATTCTCAGGGAAACCACAGGAGGCGAGAGTTACTCTTGGGCTTGAATCCTGCTTGCTGATTTCCCATAGGCATCTGGGTGAGCACTGGTAAACTAATCTCTAGTTGTTAAGGGCTTTATATACTAATAGTAACATATTGAGCGTGGCCAGGTAGCTACATGAACCATTTCCATCCCAGCTGTTCTAATAAGAACTGTTAACTTTTAAGAATTCATGTCTGACCTTGCTTTTTCCCTTCTCCCTCCAAATCCCTTTTTCCTTTATGGTCATGTCTGGCACAGGCTGAAGGCTGTATTAAATTCCCCCCCCCCCGACTTTTAAAAATAAATAGCATGTGATTTTATTGTTTTAAACCAAATCCACTGCTGATGTGTGTGTTAATTTTTTAAAAAAAATGTATTTACTTTAGTCACCAGCTGGAAATGTGTAGAGTGAATGTTGTTTTGTGTTGTTGTTTTATTATTACACAGAATTTTTAGTTTTGCTTCAGTATCTTAAGCTTTAAAGCACACCTTGCATAAAAGATAGTTAATAATTTGCCCTGGCAAAAGAACATTTCGCCAGAGCTTGGGTGGCCACCAGTCAAGGATTATTTAGCTATAATGCAGGGGGTTGGACTAGATGGCCCTTGGGGACCTTTAAAACCCTACAATTGTATGATTTTAGCTTGTCGCTTTGAGTACTTGGTGCTCTTTGTTTCTAGTAAGGGGAGGATTGCCACTTTGCATTCATGATATGCTCTCTTTATGCTTTTAGGTAAACAGAAGTACCTCTGTGCCAGCCGAAATGACTGCACCATCGACAAGTTCCGAAGGAAAAACTGTCCCTCCTGCCGCCTTCGGAAATGCTATGAGGCTGGGATGACTCTCGGAGGTAATCCAGTTTCTGTTTATGAACCTTTGATTCTTTGCAGCATACCTGATTCACTTGCTATGTGTCATGTATCTAAATGAGGCTGGAGGCAGGTATGCGGGTAAGATCTCAGCTGTTGCAGTCATTCTCTTCACCCAGAAGCCTGCCACTGATAATGGATTAGATTAGTGCCCTTCTTCGCTGAGGTTTTGGCAAGCACCCCAGCCCTTGCTGAGTCAGGCAGGGCCCTCTAGCTAAAACAAAACCCCAATCTGTGCTCCAAGGCCAGATCCAAAGCTAGATCCTCAAGAGATGATCCTCTGTGGTGCAGGAATGCAAGCTCGCAATCAAGGCAATCTGTTTTCATTTTTTTTAATTAACTGTTTATTAGTTTTCTACAAAAAGTTTTGTTGCAAGCAAGCAGTCATTACATTGTGGGTGGAGGGACTTCAACACATGCAATATAGCATGTAGGACATCTTGGGAAATTGTGCTTAGAGCTGTAGAATGGGCACATTCTTTGAATTAAATAAACATAAATAATAACCAAATCAGATACTCTACCATGTCAAGAGAAATTTATCACTACATTCACCTTACATTCTAGCTTAATGTATTAAGTAATTTTTCATAGCCTGGAGGAGGTTCTTGGGCATGTTCCTCTTTACCTACAAAGGAGATAAAGTCGGACTGAAGTGGTACTACATTATCCTATTTATTTAGGCACCTGGCGATGCTCCATTTGTATATTAATTTTTCTAGAAGGACGCTATCCCAAACTTTTAAATGTAAATCTTTCCAGAAATGCACAAGAATCATTCTGGCTACCGCCAATAAATGCATAATCATTTCTTTATTATGTAAATTTAAGTTACCCTTATCAAAAATAAAAGTGTCATGTGGGAGGTTGAGATAACATGGCAGGCATCTGCTTCTCACAACCTGAGAGCCAGAGAGGCAAATGTGGTTATTAGCAGAAGGTGTTCTCTATGAGAAATCTGTGAGACCTCTCTTAAGAAGGTCCTAGGCAGCAGATTTGTGGTGAAAAAGTTGTAGATTCTGATATTTTCATGATCCTCTTAAAAGAGTTATCAGAGCAGTTTGCAACTATAAATAAGACATTCATTGTGCCCAGGGCTCTCCATCTGTCCTGCATGGTGCTCAACACATAGGGGCGTAAGAAGAGCCTGCTGGATCAGGCCAATGACACATCCAGTCCAGCATCCTCTTACAGTCACCTAACAGTTGCCCGTGGGAAATCAGCAAGCAGGCTAAAAGTGCAAGAGTCCCATGGTTTCCAGCAATTGATACTCAGAAGCATTACCTTCTCCAAATGTGGAGGCAGAGCATAGCTATCGTGGTTAGTAACCATTTATAGCCCTCTCCTCCATGAATTTGACCAGGCTCTTCTTCCATAGTTGGAGGCAGCAATACTTCTGAATACCAATTGCTGGAAACTGCAGGAGAGGAGAGGGCTCTTGTGCTCCAAACCTGCTTGTGGTTTTTCACAGCCATTGCATACTGCATCAATATCATCATCGAACTCTCCACTATGCTCCCAAGGCTTCTTGTTTCTGCTCTGCCATCACCAATTCAGATTCCATGAGCTTATACTGTATATGAGATTAATAATTTTTTTGCCCCAACATGCATCACTTTACTCTTGTTTACAGTGAATTGCATCTGCCAGTTTACCGCCCGCTCACTTACGGAGCTTGGTGGAATTAGTGAAGATGCAGGAGAGTTGGGATTTCAAGTGTGCCCTCCTGCAGGATGGATGGTCTATATATAGATGACAATACTTCACCCTCCTCTTCGAGCTCCTGAACAGTTGTTGCCTCCCTCCCCAGCTGCTCAGCCCTCCCCAACCTCTGCTGAGACTCTCCAGGTGGGGTGGGGGTGGGGGGTCAGGAACCTAACCTGGCCCTACCACTGAACCCAACCCCTCCACCTCACTTCTACCCGTCAAACTCTGGACAAGTGGTCTTTAAATTAAAATCAACATAGTACATTGGCAGCTTACATGTATTGAACGCGTGATTTCAGCCTTACACACTTGACAGACTGAAATACCACAAGTTAAATGAACAGAAGATGGAGAGTGATCATATTGTCAAGATCCACATTCTGTGGTCTAGTTTTGCCCTCTAGCAGAAGGTTTCCTGCTTGCTCACTCTTGGAAAAGATCCATAAGGCTGTTAATAATACAGATTAACTATGAAAGCAATCATAATAAGCAGAGCAGGAGTATCGCTCATTTTCTCAATGCCTCCTTCCCAAGAAAAGACCTGCTATGTTCTACACATGATGCTAGAGGCAGGATTAGTGCAACAGAGAAAGACTCTGGAGTGGGGGGAGCAGGCAAGAAAAAACATGAGAGTGACGTTGGGGATTGGTATGGAAACCATGCAACTCTTTGGCTTGCCCTGCAGACTAACCCTCTTCATGGGTCTTCATTTGCCCCTAAAGACAGAGGCCTAAACTTGAGGTTTAGTCCCTTTCTTCTTCCTTCCATTAGCAAATCAGAGACATGCACACACCCTCTGGTCATAGCCATACCATGCATTTAATGCACTGTAGTATCACTTTAACAGTCACATGGCTTCCCCCAAAGAATCCTGGGAGATTCAGTTTGCTATGGTCACCACCTTTGCAGGTCTACAGTACCTAGCCCTTTTAACAAACTACAGTTCCCAGGATTCTCTACGGTTGTTAAAAGTGGTCTAAGGGTGTTTTCTCTCAGAAAAAAACTCCCCATTCCTACAGAGGCTGTAGTTTATTCAGTAAGGAAGCCAAGCAAATGTGAGGCATCCTTTGAATTGTGCCTTCTTGATTGAGCCAGCCTAAGGCCCTCCAACTCCCTCCTCATCCAGAAAGAAATCCCAAAGGCCGCTTTTTAAAGCAGTTAATGATTTAACTTGTTAAGTCATAATAAATCCATGAGCAGCTCTTTGGAATGCTGACAGGAGTTTGGCTGGGAGGCAGTTGTTTCACTGTCACTTTTGAATGCTGTTGCTCCTGAGAACGTAAAGTAAAATATATTCTCCTTCCCCTTCTTCTTCTTCTTCTTCTTCTTCTTCTTCTTCTTCTTCTTCTTCTTCTTCTTATCATAGAATTGTAGAGTTGGAAGTGAACCCCAAGTCATCTAGTCTAACGGCATAGCTAAAGAACCCCAGAAATATGGCCCTCCATATTCTTAGAAACCTCCAAGAAAGGAGAGTCCACCACCTTCCCAGAGACTCCGTTACACTGTCAAACAGCTTTTAACACCAAAAACTTATTCATAATGTTTAGTCAGAATCTCCCTTCTTGTCATTTGAATTCATTGGTTTGGGTCCTCCCCTCCAGAGCAGCAGAAAACAAGCGTGCTTCATCTTCCATGTGACAGCCCTTAAGGTATTTGAAGATGGCTCTCATGCAATCTCTCAGTATCTTCTTCAGGCAAAATATTCCCAGCTCCCTCAACTGTTCCTCATTAAGCTTGGTTTCCAGATCATTTATCATCTTGGCCACTTTCCTCTGCACACCTTCCAGCTTGTCAATATCCTTCTGATATCATTTTCCTGTACAGTCATTTATTTTATCAACATTTGGCTGTTGTGAGAATAGCTGGTGTGTAGTTTAAGGTGTGAGATTGCACTGGGTTACAAACCAGCCTTTATTTGTTGTTGTCCAGTCACAGCCAGAAAAATCATCCATCACCTATCTGTCCCAATATCTGCGGCACCTAGCAGAGACTTATCTACACTTAATCTTTTGACCCGCTCTTTCCTTTCAATTTTTTTTATTCATTTTCACTTTTAACATTTATCATCATACATATATCATAAGCATTTTACAAATAGGATTCTCATGGTTTCCCCAGATATTATTTTCAAACTGCATTGTATCATATTCTCCATATTTTCTTGAAACTCAATTTTTATCATAGTTCTCGCTTCATTACAAGTGTTTTCATAATCCTGCCAATGTTTTCAATTGTTTACAGTGTTTTTTTCTGATTTTCCTGGTCATTTTTGCCAATTCGGCATAGTCCAACATCTTTATCTGCCATTCTTCTTTTGTAGGTAGAATGTCCTCCTTCCATCTTTGGGCAAGTAACTTCTGACCTGCTCTTTCCAGGCACAGGTCTGCGCTTAAAAGCTTGGACCCCAGAGCTTTCCCTGTAAAAACCCACTCTTTATTACTCTGTCAGTTTGGGTTTTCAACAGTTTGCTGTTTTCCCCAATTGAGCTTTAAAAGGTGAGTTTTCATGGGGAAAGCTCCAGAGCAAAAAAGAAAAAAGGGCGCTTGGACATGGAGCTTTAAAGCATAGACCTTGTCTGCAAAGAGCAGAGGAAAGGAAAGTGTGGATAAGCCCTCTGAGTGCATTAACACAGCAGTTCATTGCATTTCCTCAATGTTTCCCTAGCTGTTAATGTCTGCATTATTATTTGAGCTTTCAAGCCACTTCTGGAAATCTAGTGGAATATGGTGATAGTTCAGCGCACATTTTTGTATTAATTGCTTCCAAGAAAAATCCATTTAGTACCTCACTGACTCAGAAAATTGTGGGAGAAAGGTGATGAGATTTGGGGCAGTATATCTAGTGGAATATGATGGAAGTGCGGTGCTCATTTCTGAGCTAATTGTTTCTGGGAAAAGCTGTGGGAGAAAAATGACAAGATTGGGGGAGGTATACCACCATACAGTTCTTCCCTATTGTTTTCATGGGGGAATAGAAGCATGCATGCATGGAAAGGGGAGAGAGGAGCGATGTTGTCCAATGACACCACACCCAACTGCTGTGAATGAAATTTAGCACCACCTGCCAGTAGATCAGTCAAGAAGCCATTGTATCATAATGCTACAGGAGGAGGAGGAGTTTGGATTTGATATCCCGTCTTTCACTCCCCTTCAGGAGTCTCAAAGCGGCTAACATTCTCCTTTCCCTTCCTCCCCCACAACAAACACTCTGCGAGGTGAGTGGAGCTGAGAGACTTCAAAGAAGTGTGACTGACCCAAGGTCACCCAGCAGCTGC